AGGGTGGACCTGAAGCAGGTCTTAGTCTCTTTTTTTTCAGTAGGTTGAAAATGGCTTCCGACCCATTTAACAGCAAAAAAAGGCCTCTTGACCACCCCTAAACAGCTGAGCCAGGTTATTAAGGCATACCCTCCAACATTTCTCTGATGAAAATAGGGACGTCCTATTCAATTATTAGGGATGCGGGTGGTGCTGTGGGTTAAACCACAGAGCCTAGGACTTGCCGATCAGAAGGTCAGCGGTTCGAATTCCCATGATGGGGTGAACTCCAGTTGCTCAGTCCCTGCTCCTGCCAACCTAGCAGTTTGAAAGCACGTCAAAGTGCAAGTAGATAAATAGGTACCACTCTGGCGGGAAGGTAAACGGCGTTTCCGTGCGCTGCTCTGGTTCGCCAGAAGCGGCTTAGTCATGCTGGCCACATGACCCGGAAGCTGTACGCCAGCTCCCTCGGCCAATAAAGTGAGAAGAGTGCCGCAACCCCAGAGTCTGCCATGACTGGACCTAATGGTCAGGGGTTCATTTACCTTTACCTATTCAATTAATAATAATAAATAATAATAATATTGTTGCTGTTTATACCTCAGCCATCTGACTGGGTTTGCCGCAGCCACTCTGGGCCACTTCAAACATGACTAAAAACATAATAAAACATTTAAAAAAGCTTCCCTATACAGGGCTGCCTTCAGATGGCTCTGGTCAGATAACTCCCTAACCTCCAACATTTCTCCAATGGGAATAGAGACGTCCTAAGGAAAAGCGGGACATTCCTGGATCAAATCAGAAACTGTAACGGCTTCTGTAAATCCAGGACTGTCCCTGGAAAATAGGAACACTTGGAGGGTCTGTCAAGGCTATCGGTGGCTAACTACCATGCTCTGTCTCTGTGGTCAGAGGCAGTAAATGCTTCCGAATACTAGTTGCTGGAAAGCACAGGAGGGGAGAGGAATCTTGTGCTCTTGTGCTCTGTTTGCCAGTTTCCCACTGGGGCATCTGGTTTGGCTGCTGTTAGAACAGGATGCTGGGCTTGATGGGCCGCCATTGGCCTGATCCAGCCGGGCTCATCTGATGTATATTTGGGGGAACCTCTGGCCAGTGTCCTGGGCTGGCTGCATTTGCATTTCTTGCAGTGTCTCAAATTTTGGGTCTCCAGCTGTTGTCAGACTACAACTCCCATCATCCCTGACCACTGGTCCTACCTAGCTAAGGATGATGGGAGTTGTAGTCCAGCCATAGCTGGGGACCCAGGTTTGAGAAATACTGCAACGCTATGGATTGGCTGGTGACTGTCGAATCCCTTGAGGCGGGGAGCCCAACATTACCAGCCCATCTGTGAAGTTAGAGAAATGCAAACTCAGCCAGCCCACAATAACCAGATTGTGCCTTTCTGAGCTTTGCTGTTCTTCAGCTGTAGAATGGGACTGCATGCTTCAGTGCTGACAGAATATTTCTCTTCCCTTTTTTAAAAAAGTTACTCTTGTGATTAGCCTTGCAGAAGCCACTTCTTTCAACTGCTCCTTCTCTCAGCCTCAGACCTCCTCGTGTGTAAAGCAGGAGCGTTGACAGGTGGTTGTTTTTTTGATGGGGGTGTTCCTTCAGCTCCACTGGCCAGCTGAGATTTCTGTTTTGGAATGCAGTACGATTGCATCTTATGCAGAGATTCTGTTCCAATGAAGGTTCCATGTACACATGAACATTGTGTGTACATTGTGAATCCCCCATACTCTGTGAGAGCCAGCATGCTGAGCAGGCCTTGCCCCTCCAAGCAAGGCAGAGAGCTAAAAGTTGTTCCCCTAGCTCTTCTCCAAAATCTTCCTCCTATTTTAGTCTTAATGAGAGAAGGGGAGGGGTGGCCAATTGTTGTGAAGGTTTTATATAGTTTGAAAACAATTCCCTTTAGGATAATACTGGTTTTAAATGGTTAGTTGATGAGGTTGTCATAAGACTGTAGAGATGGAAGTGTTAGAAAATTGGGTATATAAGCTAGGCGCCAAATGGCTCCTTAAACCAGGGTTACAGTCGCCAAAGTGAAATGCCTAGCTGCCATTTAGGGCGCAGGTGGCTCAAAAGTTGCATCCTGGCACCTGGTCACAAGTGGCCGATTGTTGTTGTTTAGTTGTGTCCGACTCTTCATGGACCAGAGCACACCAGACACTCCTATCTTCCACTGCCTCCCACAGTTTGGTCAGATTCATGTTTGTAGCTTCGAGAACACTGTCCAACCATCTTGTCCTCTGTCGTCCCCTTCTCCTTGTGCCCTCCATCTTTCCCAACATCAGGGTCTTTTCCAGGGAGTCTTCTCTTCTCATGAGTTGGAAGTTGGAAGCCGCCCAGAGTGGCTGGGGAAACCCAGCCAGATGGGTGGGGTATAAATAATAAATTATTATTATGAGGTGGCCAAAGTATTGGAGCCTCAGCTTCAGGATCTGTCCTTCCAGTGAGCACTCAGGGCTGATTTTCTTAAGAATGGATACGTTTGATCTTCTTGCAGTCCACAGGACTCTCAAGAGTCTCCTCCAGCACCAGAATTCAAAAGCATCAATTCTTCAGCGATCAGCCTTCTTTATGGTCCAGCTCTCACTTCCATACATCACTACTGGGAAAACCATAGCTTTAACTATATGGACGTTTGTTGGCAAGGTGATGCCTCTGCTTTTTAAGATGCTGTCTAGGTTGGTCATTGCTTTTCTCCCAAGAAAAGTGGCTGATAGCCAGGTACAAAATGCGCCTGGCAAATTTCAAACACTGCCTGCAATGCCACGCATTGCCATGTTTTTCCTGCAGCAAACAATCACAGCTGCCCCTCCGGAAACGGTATATGCTTGCTATATCTCATGTTGTAGTTTCAGAGATGCAGCAGAGACTGGGCTCCATCTTGTTTCCAGCTTTATACACAATGTGTGTGTTTTGAGTCCAAGTGCAGGGAAGTTGGGGGCCCTGCTTGGAAATGTAAACGGGGGAAACCCCATTGAGCAGAAGTGCCTGTAAGCAGCATTGTGCTTCCTGTTAACCCCTCTGTGCTGGGAAACTGGATTGGCTGTCCAGTGCACAGGCGGGGGTGTTGTGGTGGCTCTGGGGAGTTCTCCAAAATGGTAAGAATAGGCTTGGGGGCACAGGCGAAGAAGAGATGTCTTCAGTCCTTTATTTTTAATTTTTTTCAAAGCACCATTTAGAAGCAACAGTCAATATTCAACAATCTCTTTTCACACACACCGGGAGAGAGAGAGAGAGAGAGAGAGAGAGAGAGAAGAACCATATGTCTAACTACATTTAACTTTTAACCTTAAGTTTTTCAGCAAAAGTATCATCCCACAAACCTCCACATGTCCCCAGAGCCCATAAGCCATGTTCCATCGATGTTACATATGTAATAAAACCAAGCTGGGCTGATTGAAAAGTGGTGGTGGTTTTTGTCTGCATGACTCTCTTGGATGCGGGTTGTCTGTTGATCCATAAGACCAATGGTCCCAGCGTTGTGAGGTCCAGATCTCAAAACACAACTGCATTTAGTGTCTTCCAATACCTTTCAAATGGGACGCGGGTGGCGTTGTGGGTTAAACCACAGAGCCTAGGACTTGCCGATCAGAAGGTTGGCGGTCTGAATCCCCGCGACAGGGTGAGCTCCCGTTGCTCGGTCCCTGCTCCTGCCAACCTATCAGTTCAAAAGCACCTCAAAGTGCAAGTAGATAAATAGGGACCGCTCTGGCGGGAAGGTAAACAGCGTTTCCGTGCGCTGCTCTGGTTCGCCAGAAGTGGCTTAGTCATGCTGGCCACATGACCTGGAAGCTGTATGCCAGCTCCCTCGGCCAATAAAGCAAGATGAGCGCCGCAACTCCAGAGTCGGTCACGACTGGACTTGATGGTCAGGGTCCCTTTACCTTTACTAATACCTTTCAATGGATAGCAAGCCATGCTGCTGCCTTTATATCTCCAGCCAGGAATTTATATTTTAGCTTGTAGCATGGAAGGTTAAAGGTGGGCCTGCCATGCCTCTACTGCCTTGTCTCCACTTGGATCAGCTCCCTGAATTGGACACTGCTGCAGATCTCCCTTGGGATCCACCCAGGATGGCAACCCGCCTTGCTTTTCAGCTGGCCCTTTTTGAATTAACAGGCTGCTTTTAGGGGGTGGGGTGGGGGGTTAGTCTGTCCAAGAAAGCATACAGCTCACAAAAACTGTTTCTAAAATCCAATAGTACAAGCACCGTGTACATGTTTAAAAAACCGAGGCCAATTAAAATAAATAAAAAGGCTGTCCGTGCAAGAACAAGTCTCTGAAATGCAGCCTAGATTAAGGAAAAGGCAGGACAAAATAAATGAGGCTTTTGGAAACGCAGCTTAAAATAAATTTGGACACCTAGGAGGGAAGGAGAGGCTGGGTCTACACTGACTGACATCTGCGGCTCTCCAGGGGGTCAGGCTGGGGGTGTTCATACCTGGTGATGCTCGTGGGGATTGAACTGGAGGCCTTCTGCATGCAGGACAGGTGTCCTCTGCCCATGAGCTCCAGACCCTCCCCTTTCATGCTATAGATCAGTGCTTCCCAACTGGTGCTCTCTGGACCGCAGGGGGTACACGTAACCCACCCCTGGCACCATTGACATAAGAAAAACTGCCATACAGATATCGAAAGGTTCAGAAGCAAAAGGTCCATAGCTTGGCTTTTGAAAAACAGGGGTCCGTAGTACTTAGCTAACTGAGAACCACTAGATTGATGTGAGCTTAATCTGCAAATATTTTCCAAGTCTGTTTTGCTGCCCTGCAGATGACTGCATGCAAGTCTTGAAACACCTGGACAGGTATTAGTCCTGGAAGACAACACTTTATACTTGGTAGTTGTTTCAATAAAAATTGCGTCACCAGTTAGCTCAGCTGGTGTTGATAATGCCAAGGTCGCAGTTTCAATCCCCATAGGGGCGGCCTGCGTATTCCTGCATTGCAGGGGGTTGTGGGGGCCCTTCCGACTCTCTGATTCTATGCCGCCTTCCTCTCCCCCCCCCCCAGGCTACGACTTTGCGGCAGTCCTGGAGTGGTTTGCAGAGCGGGTGGACCGCATCATCCTCCTCTTTGACGCCCACAAGCTGGACATCTCGGACGAGTTCTCCGAGGTGATCAAGGCCCTGAAGAACCACGAGGACAAGATCCGGGTGGTGCTGAACAAGGCGGACCAGATTGAGACGCAGCAGCTGATGCGGGTCTACGGTGCCCTCATGTGGTCGCTGGGCAAGATCATCAACACGCCCGAGGTGGTGCGTGTCTACATTGGCTCCTTCTGGTCCCACCCGCTCCTCATCCCGGACAACCGGAAGCTCTTCGAGGCAGAGGAGCAAGACCTCTTCAAGGACATCCAGTCCCTCCCGCGAAACGCCGCCTTAAGAAAGCTCAACGACCTCATCAAGCGGGCCAGGCTGGCCAAGGTGGGTGCCCGTCCCCGGGGGGGGGGAGAGCTTTTTCCTGTCCTTCAAGGCCGGGGAGGTGTGCTCCGGCTGCCCAGTGATGGAGGAAGGGTGCCCGTCCCAGGTTTGCAGGGGGAAAGCTTTCAGTATGTTTCTTAGCACAATTCAAAGTGTCGGTGCTGACCTTTAAAGCCCTAAACGGCCTCAGCCCTGTATACCTGAAGGAGTGGTACCACCTCCCTTGTCCAGCCCAGACACTGAGGTCCAGATCTGAGGGCCTTCTGGCGGTTCCCTCACTGTGAGAAGTGAGGTTAAAGGGAACCAGGCAGAGGGCCTTCTCGGTAGTGGCGCCCACCCTGTGGAACGCCCTCCTGTCAGATGTCAAGGAAATAAACAACTATCTGACTTCTAGAAGACATCTGTAGGCAGCCCTATACAGTGGTACCTCAGGTTACATATGCTTCAGGTTACAGACTTACTAACCCAGAAATAGTACCTTGGGTTAAGAACTTTGCTTCAGGCTGAGAACAGAAATCATGGTCTGACGGTGCGGCAGCAGTGGGAGGCTCCATTAGCTAAAGTGGTGCTTCAGGTTAAGAACAGTTTCAGGTTAAGAAAGGACCTCTGGAACGAATTAAGTACTTAACCCGAGGTACCACTGTATTGGGAAAATTTTAACATTTGATGTTCTCAGGTGTTTTTATATTTTGTTGGAGGACGCCCAGAGTGGCTGGGGCCACCCAGTCAGATGGGCAGCATTTTATTTTAATTTATTCAAGGGCAGAGGGCCCATTGGTTCACCCTCATCCAATGTCCTGTTTAGGTCAGTGGTCTTCAGCTTCTCGAGAGCCGGGACTCCTCTGTAGCAGGATGGGACCCATTTCCAAGGGCAAAAGTGGGGCCCTTGGGGTTGGAATGGCATGGGCAGGGCAGTCCTTCTGTTGAAGACCAGTTATCTAGCCCAGGTGTGGGGAGCCGGTCTCCCTCCAGATATTGCTGGACTCTAACTCCCATCAGCCTCAGGACACCCGACCCAAAAGCCAGGGGTGATGGGATTTGTTGTCCAGCAATATCTGGAGGGAGACAGGCTCCCCACACCAGGCCTAGTCTCGCCCATCTTTTATTTATTTTTGCAGCCGCTTGTGTCACCTGCAGATATTGCTGAGTTCTCAGCCTCTGCTCTCCACCCCCCTTGCAGGTCCATGCCTACATCATCAGCTCCTTGAAGAAGGAGATGCCCAACGTCTTCGGGAAAGAGAGCAAGAAGAAGGAGCTGGTGAGCAACCTGGGGGAGATCTACCTGAAGATCGAGAGGGAGCACCAGATCTCGCCGGGGGATTTCCCCAACCTCAGGAAAATGCAGGTATGGAGGGATGTTGTTGACCTGTATAGTGCGTTTGAGACAGGAGCGGGTAGGGCTTGGGCTTGCCTGGAGAGCAAGGAGGTCCTGGAGTCTTGCTGCATGTTTGTGTGTGTTGCAAGAATCACAATGGTAGGGGAAACTGTGAAGCCAAATGATGTTTCTCTCGATTCCTGCAGCTCCTGTTAACTCCCCCCCCCCATCCTGCGAATCACAAGAGCAGGCGCTGGAAAGAATCACGCAGGGGAAACCGTGAAGCCAGCCAATGCCTCTACATGGCTCCACCCTTGTTTCAGACATTGTGATACATCGCGGTGTTTAGCTGGTGATACATCACGATGCTGAAAATTGGCGGCTAGGCTCTCCTTATGATGTTAGTTGTGATTTTTGCCTGCCAGCTTAAGGACCACAGACCTCCTGCCTCCGAGCACCAGTTGCTATGGGGACGGCAAGTGGGGAGAGTGGTGCTGTTGCGCTCGGGCCCTTTGGACTGATCCTGCAGGTGGGCGCCTCTTCCCCCGCAGTCAAGAGGCGGTGATGCTTCTGAAGACCAGTCGCAGGAAACCACGAGAGGGTAGAGTGTTGCTCTTGTGCAGGTCCTGCTTGCAGGTTTCCCATTAAGGTCAGCCACTGTGAGACCAGGATGCTGGGCTAGTGGAGACCCAGCAGCATCCAGGCTGCTTGTTAACATTCCCAATGGAACCTCCAGATCCAGAGGCAGTCTTTCTGAACTTCCAGGTTCTTAGGGACGTTTGGCCACTGTTGAGAACAGAATACTGGATGGAAAAACTCTGGAGAAGTGATTTGTAGTTCACAGCATGTTATTCTTTGAAGGGGAACTACTTAAAAATGATTTACAGATGGTATTTAACTCTGAGTAGGCTTGCAAAGATGTAGAAGACTGAATCAGATAAGTGCTGGAGATGCAATGAGGTTCTTTCATATGTGTTGGACTTGTAAAAGGTTAAAAGAATATTGGGAAATGATCCATAATGAATTGAAAACAAATGTTTAAAAGTACTTTCCCCGCCAAAACAGAGTCCTTTCTGTTGGGGATAATTCAGACTGAAATTCCCAGGTGTCAAAAGTTATTTATGTATGCCATTACTGTGGCCTGTGTTTTGTCAGCCCAAAAACGGAAAATGAGGTCCCAACCAAAGAAGAGTGGCAGCTTAAGTTGACAAAAGACACACAGCTCTCAGACTTAACATATAGAATAAGAGAACAAGAAGAACATACGTTTAGAGATGACTGGAAAATGTTTATTGAATATATGGGAAATAACTGCGTACAGCTGAAAACGCTGGCAGCATTAAGATAAATTCAACAGTGTAAATAAGTTATGATGGATATAATAATGGAATGCTGAATGGTATAGTTTTTGTAAAATATGCAGGGATTTGTGATACGTAAAATGAACCATGGAAAGAGGAGAAGGGAAGTCATTTATATTTTAAGGATGAAAAAATGAGTACTTTTAATTGTAAAACAGGAAATTTAATAAAATTTATATACAAAAAGAAGAACAGAATGCTCTTCACATGCCCACCTTGTTGTCCCCCCAGGAGCAGCTGCTTACGCAGGACTTCAGCAAGTTCCAGCCGCTGAAGTTGAAGCTGCTGGACACGGTGGACGACATGCTGGCCAACGACATCGCTCGCCTGATGGTGATGGTGCGGCAGGAGGAGGCTCAGATGCCCACGCAGGTTGTGAAGGGCGGGGCCTTCGAGGGCACCATGAACGGGCCCTTCGGCCACGGCTACGGCGAGGGGGCGGGCGAGGGCATCGACGACCTGGAGTGGGTGGTGAGCAAGGACAAGCCCACGTACGACGAGATCTTCTACACCCTCTCGCCCGTCAACGGCAAGATCACGGGCGCCAGCGCCAAGAAAGAGATGGTCAAGTCCAAGCTGCCCAACACCGTCCTGGGCAAGATCTGGAAGCTGGCGGACGTGGACAAGGACGGGCTGCTGGACGACGAGGAGTTTGCCCTTGCCAACCACCTCATCAAGGTCAAGCTGGAGGGGCACGAGCTGCCCGCCGAACTGCCCTCCCACCTGGTGCCGCCCTCCAAGCGCAGGCACGAATGATGCCACCTCCCTGTCGAGCGGGAGGGCCCCCCCGCCTCTTGACTCTGCCCAGCCTTTGGGTGGGCCGCCTGCCATCAGGAACTCGACTTTGAACTCCCCCGCCCCACGAGAACAAAAGACGCCACCCCAAACCCACAGATGATTTCGTTTTATAAAGAAATGTTTTAATACATCTGCTATCTTTGAGGCAGTCGTCTTGTGTGGTGCTGGGGAGGAATCTCCTGTCGGTAACATCTTCTCTAGGCGAGAGCCCGCAAGGGTGGGTGCCAGGTGTGGTGCCAGTCCCAGCACCTGTCTGTCGAGGGGCTCACCTGGGCTGAGGCCCACACCTTGGAGCTTTTCACTCTGGCAGGTGATTTTCCCGGTCGACGCTCGAGAGGGTGTCTGTAAGTTCCTCGCACCCAGTGGTGTTCGGGTCCTGGTTCAGGGCCTCTGGATCGTTGTGGGGCCAGCCCCCACTTCTTGGGTGACGCCACCCAGCCTTGGCAACCTTAGGGTGACCTCCTCACTGCCCCCCCCACGCCATCACAGTCACTTTCTGGGAACATGCACCACCACCTGTTTTGACACCTCAGACTGACGCATCACTTCCTGCTTTGCCTAAGAGGTGGTGGTTGTTTTTTTGACATCACTTCCCCCTCCACCCACCAACCCTGTGCCTTTACAAAGTGGTGCTATAATGGGATTTAATGGGACCAGCTGCTCACATCCCGGTGGCAAAGGGTTAACGCTCCCCTTCCCCCCCACCCCCCACGCCATGCAGGCACTGGGCAAGAAATTGATAGGGAGGTGATGGGGGTGGCATTGAGTAGAAAGGGGGGGCGGGTTCTCCATATTGCACTGATTTTCTGGCAGGGGTGGGCTCCACAGTGGGCGTGGAGGTCTCCAGGCATGAGCTAGACCCTGCAGTCTGTTTGGCTCAGAAAATCCAGGACTTGTGCATGGGAAAGGATTTGAAGATTTTAAGGTTGTACGTTGTGTCTGAAGAGAAGGGAGGTTTATGATGGTCTTTGTTACCCTCCAGGCCTGCCAAGGATGGAAGGAGATATAGTTGGGGGTTGGCATTACAGCCTCCCCCCACCCCCACCCCCAAAATGACTTCAACCTCTCTGTGTGTGTTTGGGTCGGAGGGATAAATGATTTCGCCCACCTAGCCCTCTGCCAGAAGGTTGAAGGAAGATGGGCCAGTATCTTAACCCTGTAGATGGAACATGATTGGCTGAGTCTGCCCAGAGCTGCTTATTGGGATTAGATCCTGCTAAGACCTCGGAGGGGGATCAAAAGTGCAGCTCGGTGTCAGAAGCAGAGGGAGCTGTTGAATGTTCCACCTGCATCCCTTGCATTAAAGTTGATTTTTGGAGATCTGCAGCTGCCTGTTCATTCCCCCCCCCAAAAAAAAAAAACTACACACACACACTTTAGTATTTTAAAAGTTTAATAACCCTGTGCTGCTCCAGTGCCAACAAGACGGGCTGTCGTTGACTACACAGCAAAGCCAGAAACTTCAACCTGGATGAACCTGGAAAGGTGTAGTGCTTTCAGAGGGGAAAATTACTGAACCCAGAACCCACCCCTGACCATTCAATGCAAGTCCTTCTTAGCCTGAGGCTCCACGGGACACAGCTCCCTAGAGTTGGCATCTTGTCTGACTCGGGGGACAGTAGAGGAGTGTGCCTTTGGGGGTGAAGTCAAACCACTGGAAGGTTGCAGCTCCTGCTAGGGCTGTAGAGACCGATATGGGAGAGACATGTTTCATTGCAGCCGGGGCAGATGGTGTCTGGTTTTGCTGCTGCAGATGCACCAGGGTGTTTTTTCTCTTCTGCGTTCCTCCCAGCGGTCATTCCTCCTCTGGTCATTGTGGATGCACGACCCGGATGTCCGTCTCCAGGCACTGTGGTCGTCTGCAAGGGATTTCCATGTGGTGGGGTTTATGTAGCGAGCCGTCCTGTCCCCCTATGCATCCATGCCAACAATTGAATTCTGAGGGCAAGGAAGCTTGCATGTTAGGTATCAGGGTGTTGACAGGTGCAAATTATGTTTGTGCGTATTGCAAATGCAGAAAACTCCCGGCTCCGTTTCATTGAGGATTGTATGATATAAATAACAAGTCACCTGTCCGGTTCATGGGTTTTTATCTCTGAAAAAGAGTGCTATTTCAGTTAATGTGATGGTTTTCCCTGTTGTCATGGAAATGTTGAAAGATATTCGGAATTTTCACCCTGAAAGTGAAGGTGGCCAAGAGAAAGCAAATAGAGGAAAGGTTTTCCTCCCTCTCTCATAGCACTAAAATATATGGCCCATCCCATGAAGTGAAATGTTGGAAGATTCAGGGCAGATAAAAGAAATTCCTTCTTTATGCAGCAAAGCGTTAACCTGTGGAACTCCCTGCCACAGGAGGCAGGGATGGCCACCATCTTGGATAGCTTTAAAAGAGGATTGGACATGTTCCTGGAAAGGAAAGGGCTATTGATGGCTACTAGCCAGGATGGCTTCTGCTCTTGCCTCCGTTGTCAGAGGCATCAATGCTTTATGAATACCATTTGCTGGAAACCGCAGGAGGGCCGAGGGCTCTTGTGCTCAGGTCCTGCTTGCAGGTTTCCCATAATAGGCATCTGGTTTGCAACTGAGAGAACAGGATTCTGGACTAGACGGGCCTGATCCTGCACGGTTCTGCCCATGTTCTTATTGCTAACTTGAGGTGACTCAAAAAGCTCAAGGCTAGGAATAGCCATTCATTAGCAGGTATTTCCCCCTTCCATCTTCAGCCAGAAGGAAGTGATTGGAAGTATCTGTTCCCAACAAACCACCAGTTGCTGTTCTAGCAAAATCAGGACAAACTGTAGTTGGAATCATAGATTTTTTTTGTGTGGAAGGAATCCTGAGGCTCATCTTCTAGCCGCACAACTCCCTGCAATGCAGGAATATGCAGCCGACCCATACGGGGATCAAATTGGCAAACTTGGCATTATCAGCACCATGTTCTAACCAACCGAGCTGTCCAGCTGATTAGTCGGTTTAAAATAGGATTGGTTTTGTGCCAGCCAGAACGGGAAACTGTGGTTTGGAGGTGGGTCGTTCAGACAAGCCATATTTTAAAATAGTTTGTCGTGGTTTGCACAAAACGATTCTCATTTGAAAACAAAAGCGGGTACTTCTGCTCTTGTATAAAGTGGGAAATGAATTGATGTAGCCCCCCCCCAAAAAAAAACCCAGCTTAGGTGTTGCATCTAAGCACAGCCACTAAGTTAGATGTGGGGTGGAGGAGGGGGAGTTTTACACTGGTAGCTCTCAAAAGGAGGAGCAGGCCAGGGAAAATGGGGGGGGGCTAGAAATGCAAAGAGATTATGGAGAAAGGGGTGTGCCCTTATTGGGGCTGGGGGGGGGAGCAAATTACCCCGTTAACTCACTGGAGACAGTGTGCTGGGAAAAGTGACGCTGGCTGCCCAGAGAGAGAGAGAGAGACAGACAGACAGAAGTCTCTCTTGTGCCCTTAAAGGACTTTATGATTGGAAGCTGGTCTGATTCCCGTCTGGTGCAGTCACCCCCAGGAATGCCGGTGTGCGGCTTGATGAGGCATTCCTTCCCATCCCCATTTAGAAAAGGGTTTCCTGCAGTCCAAGCATTCCAATTTATCTTTGCCCTGGGTTCATGCCAACATTCTTGCTTACAGCTGGTCCCAGGGGCCAAGAAACAGCCCGGAGCAAGCAAGGAGGGGGTGGGTGGGTGGGCGGGTGGAGACCTGCAAGGCCCAGTCTCTTGTCTGTAATGCCACAATAGCTTTGAAGGGGCTGGCTAGGCAGGTGGGGACCATGGCAGCTGGAAGATTCCTCCTCCGTGAAGCCTTGATCTGTCCCTGCACCAGGATCACAGTTGGGCACCGAGGGGGCACTTTCTTGGCTGGCAGTGTGTGTGTGTCTGGTGCCACCGCCCAGCCCTCACCAAAGCCAAGTGTTCTGTGACAGGCAATCAGAGGCTTCCAGTTGCAGTCAGGGGTGGGTGCAGTTTTTCACAGGGGGACTAGCCATGTTTTTTGCCCCAGGTGAAACCTCCAGAGGGGTGCCATTGGGGCTCCCAGCCTGTGACTTTTGTGTGTACGCAAATGCGTGTGGAGATGAGTGCCAAACTGGGTCTTTGACCCAAGTGAAAATCAGCCTCGTTTCCCCCCTGCAGTTTTTTTGGACTTGAGAGTTTCAGGCATGCAATAATCTGTTCTGGGCACCACCATCTCTCCCCCGCCCTCTTCACCCAAAAGTTTGAGCCAGACCTAGATGTTCAAATTATTTCCTCGAAGGAACCAGAGTTCTCTTCCTATTTCCAGTGAGTTCCTTTTTTAGGAAGTGCCAGAGCGCTCTTCCTGTTTTATCCCCGCAACTCTGCAAAGTTGGGTAGACAGCCAGTGGCAACTTATCTCTCCCATTTGATCAACCTGAATCAGCGCAGGGTGTACATGCTGGCAAGACTGAATGTATTACTTTCAGCAATACTACAGGGGAGATTTCAGAAAATACCATTTGCGCAGAGACTATGACCCTGTGGACAGAGACAAACAGAATCAGTTGCGCACTGTGCTTTTTTTTTCTTTAAAAAATGTTTAGGGGTACTCTCATTTTGACTCGAGGAAATCACCATTTTATAGTTCAAATTGGGAAAAATAAATATAGTAAATGGACAAAAGTACAAAGATTCACAAATGTTTAGGGGTATGCGTCCCCCTGCATCGCCCCAGAAAAAAAGCACTGGCTGCATGTGTTCTTTTGCCCCTGGTATCAGACAATTTGATCTAAGTTCATTAATCGGTTGTTAGCAGGGAGTGGCATTCAGATGAATGCAAGGTAGCCTTCCTTATGTTTACTCAGGATGGGGCTAAGATGGAGATAGTAGCCAAGTTTCTGCAACACATGATGAAGATTCGTGAACGTTTTTGCTGAGTGATTTTATTGTACCAGACCTTTTTGGAGCCTTGTATAGAGTGGTACCTCAGGTCAAGTACTTAATTCGTTCCAGAGGTCCGTTCTTAACCTGAAACTGTTCTTAACCTGAAGCACCACTTTAGCTAATGGGGCCTCCTGCTGCCGCTGCGCCACCAGAGCATGATTTCTGTTCCCATGCTGAAGCAAAGTTCTTAACCCGAGGTACTATTTCTCGGTTAGTGGAGTCTGTAACCTGAAGCGTATGCAACCCGAGGTACCACTGTATATGGCAATAAAGGTTTTGAGAATTTGAAATATGGCTGGGGTCAGATTGTGCCTGGCGCCTTCTGTGTGCCAAGCAGCCTCCCCTGTGAAGCCTGGGATCAGGCAAGAGAGGGGGCAGCAAGAATAGGGCTGGGGCTTAAGAGGAAGAAGCTAGCAGTGCTATGGGAGGGGCTTCTTTTGGCTGCTCTGCCCTCTTAAAAAGCAAAAAGATTCCTTCCTGTATTCCAAGGATAAGTCTGTTCCCTGCAGAGAGAATAATCCTGTGGACGCTTATCTCTTTCCCTAAAGGTCACATCATCTCACAGGCCATCTTGAGCATCTGGCAGTATTCTTGAGCCCATCATCTCCTGCCCTGTTTGGAGCAGAGTCCAAGGAAGGAAACTCACAAGAGTCCAAGTCCTGCTTCCTAGCAGTGTGTGTGAGAGAGATAGAGAGTCTTGCTTGCAATCTGGGCATGCGCACCCATTTTTGTGGGTGCCTACCAAGGGGACGCGGGTGGCGCTGTGAGGGACGCGGGTGGCGCTGTGGGTAAAAGCCTCAGCGCCTAGGGCTTGCCGATCGAAAGGTTGGCGGTTTGAATCCCCGTGGCAGGGTGTGCTCCCGTTGCTCGGTCCCAGCGCCTGCCAACCTAGCAGTTCGAAAGCACCCCCCGGGTGCAAGTAGATAAATAGGGACCGCTTACTGGCGGGAAGGTAAACGGCGTTTCCGTGTGCGGCTCTGGCTCGCCAGATGCAGCTTTGTCACGCTGGCCACGTGACCCGGAAGTGTCTCCGGACAGCGCTGGCCCCCGGCCTCTAGAGTGAGATGGGCGCACAACCCTAGAGTCTGTCAAGACTGGCCCTTACGGGCAGGGGTACCTTTACCTTTAGCTTACCAAGGGGAAGCATGAGGCTGCTGCCCTCTGCTGGCTGAAGTCACTGTTTGCATGTCTAAACATAGAACCATAAAACTGCAGAGTTGGAAAGGGAACACCAGCGGTCATCTAGTCCAACCCCACTGGAATGCAGGTATCGCAGCTCAGTGATTCCACTTCCAGACTGGAGGGGCGTGACTTCATCCAAAGCAGGGTACTTGTGTTAAGACAAACTTCCTCAGTAAAGATAGGAGTGAGGGGTGGTATGGCTGGGTCAGGGTGCTTTGGAATTTAGCCACTCCCAGTCAGTAACT